TCCCTGTCCACAAACTGTTAAAGTAAGGCTGCCAGGTCTTTTTTACAGCAGCCTCTAGCATGCACTGCAGCAGACATGCTGTGGAGCTTTAAGGTATTCATTTATCTTAGGAGGGGAAGATCTTCTGTCCTTGAGACTGAGACAAAAGAACAGCCCAATATTATCAGGAAACAGTTCTTCTGTACTGCAGTCGATGCACTGGATCCCTAACAGCAAAGCACTTCAGCATATGCTTTGCTGTGTAAAGCTAACCCTGCAGAAAAGTTTGTCTGAACAAAAGTGATCCGCTGGGATAGAGCCACCTGTAAAACCCCACGCATCCAAAGTTACAGGCTCTAACTCTATGTTTCTGCAGCAGAGGAAAAAAAAACAACATCACATGAATTGGGACTTATAAACTCACCACGGGTTAATTCACACAAATATGAAAAATTAAAAAATAAAATCAAAGGACAGGGAAACAGTTAAAAGTCTTGAAAAGTCACACACAAAAGGTCTTTCTCTAAAAGTATGACATCTCTTTTACTGTATAATGACACCAGATCAAGCATTTGTAATATATGGATGCTGTTTCCGTAGTGAATTGTAGAATCTCACTATTAAAGTTGTACCCATGTCCGATGGGGCGAAACACCCCCACACTTAGTAGATTAACAGAACTTCGATGTGGCAATTTAATGTAAAAAGTGATCATTTGTCTGAGCATGTTGGTGATTTTCACAAGTGACAACTGATATCCATGTAAGTGAACAATTAGCAAAGAGAACAGTATTTCCCTTTTCCAGCTCATTTACTTTGCACATTTGTATCTAGTTACTGTTGCTCTGGGATTGGCTTTTTCTGCTCTTTGGATTTGTTCCACAGCAACGAGAGAGACGAACATCTTTGTAAAATAAAACAAATTGAGTGTTAAATCAAGTACTCCAAGATGAGATATCTCACGCTACCTTTAACTCTGCTCCATTTTTTCATTTATTAATACATTTCAAGATAATATGTCCTTTTAACTGCACACTACCTTAATAGTAGGATGCTGGTTCCATTACATTAACATCAAGACACACCTTGAGAGGCAATTTCTACACTGCAACTTTTGGCAAATTCTAAGATGGCAAAAAGGACAGCTCTGACATCTGCAGGGCAGGTGCCACCTGAAAAATTATCTATTTCTAGCCACAAAAGTTAAAAAAAAAAACAACCAACCAACACCAAAAAACAACAAGTGCTTAGCAATATCTAGCCTTTGGATCTAATAACAGAATAATCCAGAATTTAGAAAATAAAGTTTAGTCTGCTACGTCGCTAACAGCATATATCTTATGTCAAGCAGCAGTAGCAGAGGGATCAAGTTCCACAGCTTGCTCCAAACACCTCCCAAAGCTAGCTGCTACAGGCTGGACACGCTTCTGTGAAAGCTAAATTAAATTCACATTATCCAGAAACCATTAAGGTTGAGATTTACCCATATGCTCCACAGATGTGACAAACTGACCAGGAAACAAAAAAGAAATGAAGAAAAAGTATCACTATCCCAAAGCTCTTTTCCTCCACAGCAAGAGCTTTACAGCAAGGGTCATTATCTTTATCTGAGCGAGCAGAGAGGCCAAGTTGCGTGGGCAAAGTCCCCTAAACACACTACCACCAAGACTCAGGAGGGTGTGTATGTTTCTGAAGTCATACCCTTGTCCTTTACTAATTAAAGACGGCCCTGTTTCTTTACGGGAAACGCCAGCTTTGGCCAGCCGTGCAGTTCACGGACCAAAGTCCCTAACGCACACCGCTGGCACCAGGCTGCTGGGCTCCACGCAATGCTGAGACAGCCTTTCTCCTCCAATGTAGGATGGGATACAGCTAAACAAGGGCTGCCCTATAAAACAGGTATGCAGGACAGCGTAACCACCTTGCAAACAACCACCCCAGTAATGTAAGCGAAACACAACGCAACCGTCGGGCTTACTTGCTGGAATCCACTTCTGGCACTTCTCACAGTAATAGGACATCTCCTCCATCCAGGACGCGTCACCTTCGTCGCTGTTCAGAGAGTCTCCGCTCTGGTCATGCGATAAGTCCACCGAAGCCTGGTCCTCAGACTCAACAATCAGGAGGGTCTCCCCTTCCACCTCACCTTCCTCCAAGCCCTCTGAGGTGGAGGTCCTGGTGGCTTCATCATCATGGCGGCTCAGCAGCCCACTCATGTGAACGTTATTAGCCATCCTAGATGGTGTTTGCATAACAAGGAGCTATTCCTCCCCACATCGACAAGTCCATCCACACTGGATGTGCTGGTCAAGTCTCCACAGTCAAAGTACCGATGACAGAGGAAATGTTTTGTGTCCGTCCTATAGCTTTTGGGACTGGATTATAACCTATAACAAAGAAACAGTCTTTCACAGATTACCTCTGTTAGCTGAAACACTTGCAAGTAGTTAGATACCAATGATCTCCAAACGTCTTTAATCAAACCTCTAATGACTCAGGACTGTGCCTAGGACTGCTGGGACCCTTTATCCATTAGCACCTTGTCTCTTTCTTCCATAAGCTGCTTCGTCAAAGCAATCTGCTCTTCTAGCAGGCGAATATTCTCCTTTTTCTGATTTTGACGCTCAAGATCTCTGATAACTCCACTGTGCAGCCTCTGAAAACACAAGGGACAGGGTTTATCACAGCCTGTTGGGTGCTGAATGTGCTTAACCCCCACCCAGCCGTAATCCCTCCTGCAGAGCTGTTCACCATGCTGCCTTTGCAAGTCCTCTGCCACCACCTGTAGCCGCAGCCACTTAACGTGGTTTAAATCTAAAACTACAGGAGCTGATATCCAGTATCGATAAGCTAATGGTACTACACCAAAAGAGCACTTTATTTGTACTCACTTCAGATGGGTGGGTTTATTAAGTGGCAAAGCCATTGAGAAAATAAATGCTATGCACCTGTAATACCTGTGCCACGCAGGACGGACATCATCTATAAAGTCCTGTTACCTCTGCCCTAAATCTTTACCAAATGGAACTGATCTCCCCCAAACTTCTCTTCTGCTTGGAGAAGCAGTTTGCTTTGGTGGAAAACTGGAAGTGATTTTAAGAAAAACTGCCGTGTGTCTTCATCTGCTTCTTTCTGCTCTTGTCTTACTCTTAAAGAAAAACTCTTGCTGCACGGCTGACAAAAGTCCCACAGCCTACTTATGCCAAGGTCTTGAAAAAGCAAGACGCTCAATTCCAAAAATATCCCCTCTACCTAACACGTTCATTATAAATAAGATGTGCAACACAGAGCAGCCATTTTCAAACTAGTGCATAAACCCCCCAATGGGTGTAAAAAGCTCTAAGAAAATCCTATCTTCTCTTTGTTTCCTCCATTTGCTTCTCTCTCTCTCCCTGCTACCTGGAAGGGTGGTTGTTTTTTTTCACTCTGACAATTAGGTGAAATGTTTAACCTTTACCTCTCACCGAGGGAACCCAAAATAAGCGAAACCAAAACTGGTGACATGGATTGGGGTGGGGAAAAGGAGAGGAGGGACCAGCTGGGAACCAGCTGCTCTACTCCAGATGTGCAGGTCTGGGGGCAGGTGAGGAGCAGAGGGGTGATGAGATCAGACAAGGGATGGAGGAGATGGCAAGGCTGACGCTAACTCTGGAAGGAAATGGGGACCACGTGAAGCATGTAGTCCGTTGTGCATGTGATATTCCCCTGGCAACTTCAACCGACCACAGCTGGTGCTGCTGCCATCCTTCCAGCCCCACGCTCCCCACACTGCTTGTTCCACCCCCGGGTCAGCCAGTCCAGACAGCACAGCCAACAATAAAACCACTCTCTTTTCCCTTCCTTCACAAAGCAAGTCATGCTCTCCCTGAGCTGGCTAACCAAAGACAAGTGCCGGTGCAAAGGAGACACATGGGGTGCACGGTCCAATTTGGTGGTTTGGCTTGAACTCCTGGGGCAGGCCATACGCTTTGAGATAGTCAGACACTGTTGAGAATTCAAAGCAATAGTCATAAGCGTATCAGAAGATACGATATATGAGGACAGAAACATTACAAATGAGTAAAACCCATTAAATGATTGTTGAGAGCCAGTCCTGGCTCACATCTAAATCAAGCTGCGTGATTGCAGCAGTGTTTTAGCCCAACTAAAGATGATAATTTTAGTAGAAGTTAGTTTTAGTTAAAGCATTATCCACCTGCCTAATTTACCAAATCACGCTTAGCTTGGGCTCAGGAATGAGAAAGTTTCACAGGTACCAAGGTGAGCCACTGGATACTGGCAATATGAATAAATTATTTAGCCTAATGGCAAAAAAAGATTAATAATTTATTTGACCTGTTTGAATGATGCCAAAATGCACCTGCAAATAATTTATTTGAAAGCTGACCCTGAAGTCATTATAGAAGATGTTTGTGATTATTATTTGACAAGTTCTCACAGGGTTTTATTCTTCATCTAGAATGGCAATAACTGCACATTCCAAAGGCAATTATTTCTCCTGTCAAGTTTAAAATAGAAAGGGTTTGTTTAAGAAATATTTTATCTTGTTAAGAAAATGCACAGACACACGTCAGTCAATAATCAAAACTGTCTCTGGAAATTAATCTAATAAAACCTGTTCCTTCCCGTTGGCTTCAATCAACAGAACAAATTAGTAATCGCTAAAGACAAAGCTCATAAACTTATTATTTCTTTCCTATTAGTTAATAACAATAAAGAAAATATGTGGGGAGATACAATGGAACAGAACAATTACATGAAGAATGTGATTCTTTTTCCTTCACAAAACACAGCTATTCTGCAATCTTTCAGATGGCGAAGCTATTTACTTTGGAAATGCACAGTTTGCAAAAGACACCTTTATAATTTGAGTATCACGGGTGACAAAGAGCTACAAAAAAAGTTCATCTTCTCACCTTCCTCTATTCTCAGAAGTGAGGCCTGCTGGTCTTCTGCAGCAGTTTAGATAAATGTGAGCAAGCTCAAATCACTTTGGGCCTGGCATATCAATTTACAGAAGTCAAAACTTTATTAATCTGCATAAGGATAAACCTGAAATAATCCCTACACCAGGGCTGCAGAATATCCATGTTACTTATTTTCGTTACATTATCTAAATAACTGGGTTTCTCAAAACCTGAAGCCATTATTCCTTGACTCGAAGATGAAGAATTACAAAGAGAAAATCTCAGATTTCATTTATAAAAGATAAGCTTTGAGCCCTAGCGCTCCTGAATTGCGAGTTAAACTGCTGGGAAAAAAAAAAAAAAAAGAATTGATCATTTTGGCAACAGCATCTTGAGGAATGCTAATATCCCTGCAAACATATACAGATTAGCATGAAATCCAGCTTTTGGGGAGATCACTTCAAATTCTAGAGGACTGGTTTGTGAACCCATCCCTGTATGTCCAGGTCAGGCACCTCTGAACTCATGAGTTCCCTGCGCAGAGTTCACAGGCTGTGCCCACGCCTGGGCAGTAGGGTAGATAGCAAAGAATAAATGCTGGTCCCGTCCCCCAAAACCCCCAAAAGGTTTTGTCGCTGACCAACTGGATCCTTTGACCCCGCCATGTCTAGGACACTCAGCAAAACTGCCTATCTGCCGGCAGCCTGACAGCGGTGACACTGATACCCTCCACAGCAATGGTTGATGCAGGTGTGGAAAAATAAGTTAAAACAGAGCCACGGGGAGAAAGCTGCCCGCTACTGTCTCTTTTGGGAAACCTGGGATCTTCTCAGGCAGAAGCTTGCAGCAGCGACCTCGGGTGTAACAGCCAAAGCAATTTAACACTACGTTGCAAACCAAGCAACCACGACAGCGTAGAGCAGCAAGAACAAGCAAAGGGCAGCAAGTCCCTATTTTCTTCCCGGTATCATCAGAAATATATGAAGCAAGCAGAGGACATTAACCGTATCAACTCATTTGGTGATCCACCGCTCCTTTTACTAGAGTCATATTTCATAGACTGGTAGAACGCACGCCGTAAACTTGCCGTTGTGCCCTTAATTAACCTGCATTTTGCACACAAGTTACAGCATGGCCTCTACATACCACGGGACCGCTGTCTTGTTGAGTGCTCAGCACGGATCCCGGCCAGGGACTCGGCCTTTAGTTTCACATTCCTTCTTCAGCCTGTTGCCCGAGGCTTTACTTACTTCATGATACACAGACCCCACTCTGACGGTAGCGTTACTCATGGACTGTTTTATGCCTGTTGCCTCTATCGAACATGAATGTTGTGTAAATGTTAATTTATTTTCAGTCTATGAGATGAAAGGGAGATATCAGCCAAAGACTAAGGTCAAAAACATCCATTAAGTTTAGGTGTCTCGCCGAAACACCCAAGGGTGATTTTTTTTCAGAGCACGCGTTGTCCCGCAGCACAAAATACAGCTCCCATTTATATCAGCTGTAGTTCAGGAGCATTTAGCACAGTTCCTGCCAGACTTTCGGTGACTCAAGGCAGGCACGCTGAATTAGCTAGCAACCACCAGGAGAAATCTGAGCTTAGGTGATCTACCCAGCATCTACATCAGCTCTGGCTGAAGCGGGACCGTTACCCACCACCGCTCCGGGAGATCAGCCTTCCTCTTCTTGCTGCTGCCTGAGCCATTCAGTGTTTTGCTTCTAAAGCAAATTAACCCACCTCTTCCCTTACCCAGATCAGTCTCATCCTCCAAGATCCACCATCCACTGACAGAAACAATCTCTTGAGGGAAAAAATACAACCCTGTAATTACAGACTGCATCGTAAAACCCATGCAACGGGCACCTGAGCTGGGGTACGGACTAGCAACTTGAACTGTGAAGTTCTGTAACTTCTGACTACTTCAGACCTCTAACAGCAGTCATTTAACATAAGATTTTTGTGTGTGTGCATTTTCTGGACTTTTTGTAAATACGGTGGTGAAAATCAGACGTGTGCCCTCATATTAGTACCCATTTGGCTTATCAGCAGGGTCTAAACCTGCATACTCATTGCCCAAACTTCTGCCACGTGCAATTTATCCATTCTACATTCTCACACCTTTTAGTCCCGGGCAGGATTTCTTCGTATATGGACTCACCATCATCTGATCTGACGCTTTTGGCTGTGGGGACTCTCTTGCACGCAGGGTGCCTGCCAGGATTTTTGTAAAGGTAGCACAGAAAAACTTCTCTGTTTCATTACCGCATGGTATCTCTGTTAGCTTGCACTCTGCCTGTCCTGTCAGACCAGGATGGGAGCCCGGGCAGGCGGCACGGCACTGAAGAGCGCCGTTTGCCCTTTAGCGGGAGGCATTTCTGGAGCTCGGGGAAAAGCAGAGCACACTTGTTGCCAGAGGGACAAGCATCAGCGGGACAGCACTGCAGGACAGGGGAGAGCCCTGGGAATGCTGCCAGGGCGGTGCCCTTGGGCCTAGCGGGTGCAGGATTGCATCCTTCCTCTGCCCTAACACCCTCAGCTGCTGCAGAGGCTGAAGAAACCTCCTCCACTGAGCCTGTCCTGCCTCACCCTGCAGCTCCCAGCTGCCGCTTGCCCCCGCAGGCGAACACACAGGACGGGATACGGGAATGGGTGCAGCTTCGTGAGCACGGAAAGGGCAGGTGGCAAAGGCCGGAAAAAATGGGGAAGGGGTAGATGGTGGAGAGACACACATCGGGGGCAGAGCAG